GGAGCTCATGCGAAGCTCCTTCCTCGAGCTTGCAAGCTCCCCAGACGTCCTTTCAAGCGTTCTTCGAAGCGCCTCCCACAGGGTTCACACGCTTTGGACTGCTCCGTCATCCAGGCTTGGGACGCCACAAGTTGTCGAGGTGAACGGCGACTCATTTGAGATTTGCTTCTCTACCAATGGGTTCCGCAACGAGATCGACAACGCGCCCGTCAGGCTTCGCCGGGCGAGGATCAAGGTGAAGACTTGCCGCCACAGTATGGAGCATGGGGCGCATATCGACTGAACCACCCCCTTTCGTGGAAGGGCAGTTCGACGCTGTCGTCCCCAGTGGTCCAACAAAAGTCGGGTCAACAGCCGGATCGCTACGGTGCTGCGGGCGACGACGTGATCGGGTCGTCCGAAGGTTAGGCGCTCATTCGAGGCGCTGGCGGACACGCTCTAATTATGCACTTCGGAATCCCAGCCGATAGCATTTCTGTGATGTGTCTGTGTGCGCGGTGGCAAAGACTCCGAAAGCGAACGAGCATGTCGTCTGCATTCCAAAAGTCGTCATGGTGATTGTGCCCCCGATACTTCAATACTAACACGCCTTTACAAATATGTGTATATGTATATATACAAGATTTTACCGGCTCGCTTCGCTTCGCCTTTAAAATCTTGGTCGCATGGCGCCAGAGAGGCGCGATGGGACCGGCAGTCGTCACTGCCGCGGTGCGATTCGGGAAGTGGTCATGGGTGTCATAGGACTCATTGGAAATGTAGGGCTCCTGGGGTTCCGTGAGGTCATCGGCTCTTGGGAATCATCGGGCTCGCAAGGTCCGTGAGGCTCAGAAGGCTCATAGGGCTCATTGGGTCTCATGGGGCCACAGGGATCGCAGGGCTCGTCAGGCTCACAGGGGTCGTAGGGCTCATATGGCTCACAGGGCTCCAGTGCTCATAAGGCTCATGGGGCTCATGGTCCCATAGAGCTCGTAGGGCTCGCAGGGCTTCTAGGGCTCATAGGGCTCACCGGGCCCATAGGGCTCACAGGGCTCATTGGGCTCATAGGTCTCGTGGTGCCCGCGGGGCTCATAGTGCTCATAGGGCTCCTGGGGCTCGTAGGGCTCATAGGACTCATACGGCCCGTAGGGCTCATAGGGCTCATCAGGTTCACGAGGCCCATGCGGCTCACAGCAGTCATAAGGCTCATAAGGCCTATAGGGTCATAGGGCTCATAGGGCTCATAAGGCCAAGGGTTCTCATAGGGCTCACATGGCTCACAGGCTCATGTGGCCCATGAAGCTCGTAGAGCCCTCCGGGCCCGTAGGGCTCAGTGGGCTCATGAGGCTCATAGGAATCGTACGGCCCATAGGGCTCATAGGGCTCATGGTGCCCGTAGGGCTCATAGTGCTCATGGGACTCCTGGGGCTCATAGGGCTCATACGGCCCGTAGGGCTCACAGGGCTCATGGTGCCCGCGGGGCTCATAATGCTCATAGGGCTCCTGGGGCTCATACGGCTCGTAGCGCTCACGGCCTGCAGGGCCCATAGGGTTCATAGGGCTCATGGTGCCCGCAGGGCTCGTAGTGCTCATAGGGCTCCTGGGGCTCATAGGGCTCATAAGGCTTATATGGCCTGTAGGGCTCATAGGGCTCATAGGGCTCATGGGGCTCAAAGGCCATACATGGCTCGTAGGGGGTCGTAGGGCCCGCGGGGGCCGTAGGGCTCATAGGGGTCATGGTGCCCGTAGGGCTCATAGTGCTCATGGGGCTCCTGTGGTTCATGGGGCTCAGACGGCCCGGGAGCTCATGGTGCCCGCAGGGCTCATAGTGCTCATAGGGCTCCTGGGGCTCATAGGGCTCATACGGCGTGTAGGTGCAGAGGACTCGTGGGGCTCGCAAGGGGCACAGGGGCCAGAGAGTCCATATGCATCCTAGGGCTCATAGGGCTCGTAAGGCTCACATGGGTCGTAGGGCTCGTAGGGCTCATTGGGCTCATAGTTGTAGGGCTCGTAAGGCTCGCAGGGGTCGTAGGGATCGTAGGAGTCGTCGGGCTGGTAGGGCTCATAAGGCTCTTAGGGCTCATGGGGCTCGTAGGGGTGATGGAGCTCGGAGGTGTCATAGGGCTCATGGGGCTCATAGGGCTTGTGTAGGGCTCATAGGGCCCGTAGGGATGGTAGGGCTCACAGGGATCATGGGGCCTGTAGGGCTTACAGGGGCCACGGAGCTCATAGGGCTTACAGGGCGCATAGGGGTCGGAGGTCTCACGGGGCTCGCAGGTGTCATAGGGCTCATGGGGCTCAGAGGGCTCGTAGGTCTCGTAGAGGTCGTAGGTCTCGTAGGGCTCATAGGGAGCGTAGGGCTGATGGGGCGTGTAGGGCTCACAGGGCTCACGGCCGTCATGAAACTCTGTGAGGTGTTGTTGTGGCCTCCTGTGGCCGTCTTGGGGGGGTTTTGAGAGCCGTTGCGGACATTGACGGCTCTTTGTTGGGCCGTCTTGGGGCTCTCGTGGGCCGTGCGGAAGTGCTTTGGGCCGGGTAGGGGACCTCAGTGAAGCATTTGTGTGGCCTCCCGGGGGGGGGGGCTCTTGAGCTCATTTGTTGGGCTGGGAAGGCGTGGTCGAGGTCTCTTGGGGCTCTCTGGGACCCTCGGAGGGCTCTTTGGGGGGCCCCTCGGCGGCTCTGGGGCCATATTTGGGGGAAGAGCTCGAAAGGTCAGTTCCGTTGGTCCTTCTTGGGGCCATCTTGGGCCGTCTTGCGGGGCTTCTTGGCTGGTCTTGGGCCGTCTTGGGGCCATCTTGGGGCCATTTTGGGGCCCTCTTGGGCCGTTGTGGGGCCCTCGTGGGAACCACTTCCGGCGTCTTGGGGCAATCTTGGGGGCCTGTTTGACCGTCTTGCGTGGTCGAGAGGTCGAGAAAGCGAGCACGTTGAAAATCATGAAAAACCCATAGGAAACTTACGAATTTTAGCTTCTGGGGCCCGCGGGGGGGTGACCTATGGGCGCTCGTGGGGCGTCTTGGGAGCCTTTTGGGCCGTCCGGAGACCATCTTGGGCGTGTTGGAGCGGTCTTGGGCCGTTTCGGTGCTCCGCGGGACCGTCCAGCGAGCGATCTTGAGCTCGCCAGGGCGGCTTGGGATGACCGAGAGGGGCCTCCGGAACCGAATACCCGAATTTCCCGCCGATGGGAGCGCCCAGGGCCGAATTTATGTACGGGGGGGGGGTCACCCGCGGTTTTCCGATATAAGAATATTCGAAGAGGATATATATATATATATATATACACACATACATGCATGCATGCATGCATGCATGCATGCATGCATGCATACATACATACATACATACATACATACATACATACATACATACATACATACATACACACACACATACATGCATGCATGCAGGCAGGCAGGCAGGCAGACAGACAGACAGACAGACAGGCATACATAATATATAATATATTAAATATAATAAATCATATATAATATATCATATAAAGTATATATCATATACAATGTACAACATATAATATATTAGACATAAGACATATAGTAGATTATATATATATAATAGATAATATACAATATAATACATATACACATAGATATATATATATATATATATATATATATGTCCCCGCCGGTCACACGCATCCGCCCCCGCATTTGGGGAAGTTTGCGCAGCGCAGCTACATAACGTGACGCGGCCGCGGCATGGTACGATTCTCGCGAAGCCTCTCTTTGGGAGCGTTTTGGGGGCCCCTTGGGCTTGGCATCGCTCGGACGTGTACATGTTTTCTCGGCGAGAACCATCGAGGACCATCCTGGACCATCGAGCAAAAAAAAACACGCACGAAACCGAAAAATGCACGGGAAATGGACGTCCGAGCGACGGCAAGTGGGGGTACCTGGGCTCTTGGTGCAACTTGGGGGTGTCTTTGGGCCGCTGGGGAGTCCCGGGGACGTCTTGAGGGGTGGGGGCAGTCTTGAGCTAGTCCTGAGCCGTTTTGGGAGTGTCATGGGCAGGCATCGGCCGTCTTGCGGGGCCCCCGGGCCGCCTTTAGGGCGTTTGATGATTTGGAGGGGCTTTTGCGCCAGATGGGTGCAGACCAGGGCGGCCTAAAGATAGTCCGCAGAAAAACCAAAGGACAGATTGCATTCCCTGGCAAGCAAAGCGAAATCACGCAACGTATTTTCCCAATGTGTGTTGGCCCCATTAGTTAGTGTTCCCCATCCTCCTCGTCCTTCTCCACCTCCACCCCCTCATCATGACCATCATTCACACACCCTCCATTTCTGAATTGCCTCCCCGTCATGTTTTGGAGGTGAGCGGCAACGAGGGCGTCATCACCAGGGGGTGTGACGTTTTCGTGCCGTACTACGACGTGCAGATCCCATGGCACGAGAATCTGCCCTGGCCGGACCCCCCCACAGAGCCAGTGAGGCGGGTGCGCGCCGCGCTCTGGCTGCTCGTGATGTTCCCGGCCAATTTCTTCAGCTTCCTCATCGACGAGCTGGCGCGGCTGGCCGTGTGGCTGGTCACGAAGAAGGATCGAAGAACAAGCAACCGCACAAGCATGGGTCTTCGGAAATCTCCGCGGACCTCCGAAAGCCCTCTATGGTTACTTACTTACCCGTTACGAAAGTTATTCATCTTGAGCACTGACGACTAGGGCGTCTCCGAGTGGCCCCCCCTTCCCCCCGTAGGCTCCTAGCACGGCAGTCTTCGGCTTGGCTTGGCGGGAGAGATTTCCGGGGTTCCCCTTGGTAACATTAATAGTGTATAACCAATTCAGGATAAAATCTCTCCCCCGTAAATCCACAAGGGAGAAATCACTCCCGGTCACTTGCAGGCAACTCTGAATCTCTCCCCGTATGAAGCCACAAGGAAGAATCACACCCATACCGCTTCTCACCACAGCGCCCACACATGTCAATTTTAGCCAAGATGAATTAATTTTCTTAACGGGGATGTATTATCTCTGACGTTCCTCTGCAGGAGCGGTTGCCTCTCCTGGTCCCCGCCGACCGCGGGAGGCTGAAAAGCTTCATGTACGATTGGTTCGACCTGCTCGGAGGCTTCGAGGTCCTGCCCTACGACGTGAGGCCGCACTTCACGGGAGCGGCGCAGGTCCGGAGGCGTCCGCGACGGGGGGTGAGGACTGGGGGGGCCGTGCCACTCCCGGATGCCATGCCCCCCCCCCCCTCTCCTCCTCCTCCGCCTCCTCCTCCTCCTCCTCCTCCGCCTCCTCCTCCTCCTCCTCCTCCTCCTCCTCCTCCTCCTCCTCATCATCATCATCATCATCCCTCCCTCATCCTCCCTCCTCCTCCTCCCCTCCTCCGCCTCCTCCTCCTCCTCCTCCTCCTTCCTCCTCCTCCTCCTCCTCCTCCTCCTCCTCCTCCTCCTCCTCCTCCTCCTCCCTTCCTCTCTCAACACAGCGCCTGGCACCCCCCGCGTCCGCGCACGTGCCTCGGGCCACGAGGCGCTGGCCCCCCCCCCCCCTCCGGCCCCCCTCTCCGGCGTGCACGCCCGGGCAGGTGGCAGCGCCGCGCCTCCTGGTGCAGGAGCTGCACGTGGTGGACTGGCGCGACCCGGAGGGGGCGGAGCGGCGTGGCGACGTGTTCCTCCTGCCGCCCCGGTGGGCGCTGCTGCGCCTGCGCGGCCTGGCGGTCGGCTGGGCACTGGGCGCGGGAGCGCGAGGACGGCCCCTCCGCGGCTCGTCGGCCACTGGTGACGAGCAGGAGTTGGGGGGAAGGAGGAGGAGGAGGAGGAGCAGGGCCAGTGCAAACCCAGGACGCACCAACGATGTTGCAATGAACCCTCCCTCCAGGTTCCCTCTTCATAGGTCTCTACAAGAATTGATCGTCATTGCGGGGAGTGCCATTGGAAGACAACGGCCTGACAATCCTCAATCGTTCCAAAACACACTTTCTGGGACTTCAGCGCCGCGAACCAATCGCGCCAGAACCACCCCTGGGACTCCAATCATGCGAACCCTTGAAGCTGCTGCAAACGTTTAAGACGAACGTGCGCAGCACAATTGATTAGCCCGACGCCGGTGCGGATCTTTTCCGCCTCGCCGCCGGCCCAACAAAAATGTGCGCAGCGCAAAGACGAGAGCCGCATTTGAAAGCCGCCCGCTCTCCATCAGCGAAACTGTTACGAACTTTGAAGACTACTGCGCGTGGCGCTGAGGCGAGAGCGACATCTTGAAAGCGGCCCGCCCTCCATCCGTGAAACGGCTTCAAGGCTCAAGTTTCGGAATCACAAATGGTGAGGATGTCTCAGGCGACACGCCTGGTCCGCCTTACCCGCACGTCTGGGGGTGCGTCAGGAAAGAGTTGTTTATATGAAAAAGGATGGAGCAGGAATAGAAACTGGAAGAGGAGGAGAGGGAGGAGGAGGTGGAGGAGGAGAGGGAGGAGGAGGAGGAGGAGGAGGAGGAGGAGGAGGAGGAGGAGGAGAGGAGAAGGAGGGAGGGAGGGAGGGAGGTAGGGAGGGAGGGAGGGTGGGAGGGAGGAAGGAGGAGGAGGAGAAAGAGGAGGAGGGACGCAGGATGGGGAGGGAGTGGGAGCACGTAGGAGGACAGGATGAGCGGGGGGAACGAGGTGGAGGATGCAGAACTTACGGAGGGCATATCGCGCACTGCCGCATGGAGCAGGCGAACACGTAGGACGTTGGTAGGACGAGCGAGGAAGCCAGCAGGAGTGGAGAGCGTGCGAACGAGAGGCTTCCTGATGGGCGGTAGAATCTCTCCGTGGCTGGCGCGCGCGCGTCGTTGCAAGCCCCATACTCGGGAAATGAGGCCCAGGGGAGGAGCGGGCAGGGGCGAGCAGGGAGAGGAAGACAGGGCTATTTCCCTTGGGCCTGCCTCCACGCCGGGCCCTCCCAGCCCAGACCCCAGACGACTCGATTTTTTCGGGTGACCAGCCCCTGAAGCTCTCGACCCCCCTCCCCGGGACCAGCTCTTCATCCCAAGGCGTTTCCTCATGGCCCCAGGGCGGGGGGACGGCCTCCAGACACCGAAGGCTGCTGCAACGCGACTTTTGTTCGAGCCTCCAGAAGTTTGGGATCCCCAAAGGCTGAGCTCCCTGACCCTCGAGCGCCCACCTCGCGACTCATCTCTCTCTCTCTCTCTCTTTTTTCTCTCTCTCTCTCTCTCTGTCGCTGGCTGGTCTCTCCCTGACGTCACTTGGCGTCCACTGGCCAGACATTGCAGCACCGACACCTCCTCCTGTGAGCTATGAGCTGCAGGTCCTTGGCTGCACGAAGGCTGCGACCCTCGACTCCCCAGCCCTCACAGTTCTTACTGGAGGCGGGGCGGGGAAGAGCACTGAGCCTGGCTCTGGGAGGAGCCGTGCACAGGTGGGAAGACCTCGCGAGAAGCGTGCCACTGCTGCCGATGGCTGGAGAGGGGAGGGGAGGAATGCCGCCTCCGCCGCTGCCGTCCGGCGTCGTCGTCAGAGCTCCGACGGCTCGCTCAAGCCTGCGGAGGCAGCGGCCGATCCCGTTCCCGACCCGCTCACGCACCGCACACAGCTGCAGCGCAGCCCGAAAACAGAGCGGCCGCCCCCGCCGGTGCGGCGCGCGGCGGAGGCCCCCGGGGGACGCGGCTGCCTGGCGGTCCGGGCTGCGCTGCGCGAGGCGGCGCGTGCGAAGAGGCGCGTGCGGCTGGCCACGGAGTGGGCCAGGTGAGCGTTGCTGTCCGACGGAGGGGGGGGGGGGGGCGGGAGGAGAGGAAGGTTGCTTCCACCATTGCCGCCGGGTGTCGTCGTCACGGCTGTGGGACGAGCCGCCGGCCATCGCGTCGTTTTCATCGTCGGGGAGGGCCAGCGGCTGTGGCGTCGTTTACCGCTTTTCAGCCGTCCATGAGCTTTTCCGTCCATCGGCCGCCTCGAACTCGTGCCAGCACGCGTTCTCGAGTGATGGCCCCCTTTTCGAAGAGGCTTTGGACGATGTCCATCCGCCTCTGGCCATCGGCGAGGAGCTGCTTGTGAGCGTGGAGCTCTCTGCTGACGGAGACAGCGAGCTCGGAGCAGGTGTCGGGGGCATGTGCCGCCGCTGCCGCCAGTAGTCCTCTCCTGTCCGGGCTTGCGGCCCAGGCTGCCGCGAGGTCGTGGCCGCCGTTGTGCTGCCTTGGCCTCGGCACCTGGGCCTCCTCGACCGTCGGCATTCCCAGGAGAGCATCGCGGTGTGCACCAGGCTGGTCTCCGCCGTGTCTGACCTCGGCATCCTGCGCGGCAAAATGCCGCCGGTGATGACTGGGTAGCCAGTGGCGTCTGCGATGTCGCTGGCGGGCTTGCCGTGGCCGATGTGGGCGGTGTTTGTCCGTGGAGACGGCTACAGCGGAGCGGGTGAGGGCAGGCGGCGGTGCCAGCACTACTGGCACTCGGTTGTCCAGTCCCGCGGCTTTGGTGGGCGGCGAGCTCGCGGTCGCCGTGGTTTTGCTCAGGCCTCGGCATTGGAGCCTCCTCGGCATTTGTCGGAACACTATCACACTGTACGATCAGAGTCGGTCTCCACCTTTTCCTGTCTCGGCCTTCTGCGTGGGAAAGACTTGCTGGTTAGCCGCGGCGTCGTAGGTGTCCTCGTTTTGGCAGGTGGTGGGGATCCTCGTGACCCGCATGTTCCTTCCCCGCAGCTCCTTGCCATAGATTGTCAGGGCGGCCTTGCCTGCAGCCTCCGTTTCCGCATATTGCACCGCCGCGCACCCGTCGTGGAGCTTGGCCTCGGTGATGCGCCCACAGAAGGCGAAGGCGGCGTGCAGGCTGGACGAGTCGAAGAGCTGGTCCGAGTTGTCCACTCTGACGGCAGCACGGCCAGTGCTGGCCAGCGCCAGCCCCATGGGACCCAAGAGAGGCTGGCGAGGACGAGGCGGGCGTCGAATCCATCACCAGCTCCCCGTCCCCTCCGGGGGGGAGGGGGCGCGGCCACGGGGGCGAGTACGGAGGCCCAGTCTCTGCCCTCTCTGGTGGCCTCGGCCTCCTGCGCGGCGACGCAGCTGCCTGTGTTGACCGAACAGCCGGTGGCGTCGGCGGTGGCGATGGCGGGCTGATTGTGGTCGCTGTTCGCGGCGATGTCCGTGCAGTCGGCGTTCCTGCGCGCGCGTGCGCCAGTGATGGAGGACGCGATTGCCGCCTGCAGGGACTCGGTGGAGGCGTAGGTGACGCCTGGGACGACGCTGACCACGTCGTAGTTGAAGCCGTGGTGGTCGCAGCTCGTTGGTCTCAGCCTGCTGCTGGCCGGGGGCGTTCAGGGTGCCTGCTCTGCCCCGTCGGTATAGCCACCGGCCTTGTCTGCAGCTTCTGCCCAGCAGCCAGGCGGCCTGGAAGCCGCGGCTGTGGCTCCCTGCAGTCGTGGCCGTCGCTGGCGCTGTTGTGGGCGGTGTGCGGCATCTCGCCGTAGGAATCCTGGGCGCCCCTGCCGACGGAGGAGACCCCGGATGACGATGTACGTGTGGCTGGTAGCGTCGTACCTGGCGCAATAATAATAACAATCATAATAATAATAATCATAATAATAATAACAACAATAAGAACAATAACAATAACAATAACAATAACAATAACAATAACAATAATAATAACACTCGTAATAATACTAATAATACTAATAATAAGAATCATAATAATACTAATACTAATATGAATACTAATACTAATAATAATAATAATAATAATTAATAATGTGTATATATATAATAAGTACGCTACCGAGGAACCCCACATACTTATATTATGGCTAGAGTGATGAGAGCTGAAGTGAAGCATGTGAGAATGATGTTGGTGACCGGTGCCCCGCCGATACCGCTGTGCCCTGGACGACCGTCACGGATAGCGGCCGCGGTAAGAGACCACCCCCTGCGCACCCCCTCTAACGGTGTCGAGAATATGCAATGCCTGCTGTGCCCTGGACGACCGTCACGGATAGCGGCCGCGGTGAGAGACCACCCCCTGCGCACCCCCTATGGTGTCGAGAATATGCCATGCCTGCTGTACCTTGGACGACCGTCACGGATAGCGGCCGCGGTGAGAGACCACCCCTTGCGCACCCCCTATGGTGTCGAGAATATGCCATGCCTGCTGTGCCCTGGACGACCGTCACGGATAGCGGCCGCGGTGAGAGACCACCCCCTGCGCACCCCTTATGGTGTCGAGAATATGCCATGCCTGCTGTGCCCTGGACGACCGTCACGGATAGCGGCCGCGGTGAGAGACCACCCCCTGCGCACCCCCTGTGGTGTCGAGAATATGCCATGCCTGCGGTGCCCTGAACGACCGATCTAGAATATCCAATGCCTGCTGTGCCCTGGACGACCGTCACGGATAGCGGCCGCGGTGAGAGACCACCCCCTGCGCACCCCCTACTCTGTCGAGAATATGCCATGCCTGATGTGCCCTGGACGACTGTCACGGATAGCGGCCGCGGTGAGAGACCACCCCTTGCGCACCCCCTATGGTGTCGTGAATATGCCTTGCCTGCTGTGCCCTGGACGACCATCACGGATAGCGGCCGCGGTGAGAGACCACCCCATGCGCACCCCCTGTGGTGTCGAGAATATTCCATGCCTGCTGTGCCCTGGACGACTGTCACGGATAGCGGCCGCGGTGAGAGACCACCCCCTGCGCACCCCCTATGGTGTCGAGAATATGCCATGCCTGCTGTGCCCTGGACGACCGTCACGGATAGCGGCCGCGGTGAGAGACCACCCCTTGCGCACCCCCTATGGTGTCGAGAATATGCCATGGATAGCTGCTGTGCGAGAATATGCCATGCCTGCTGTGCCCTGGACGACCGTCACGGATAGCGGCCGCGGTGAGAGACCACCCCCTGCGCACTCCTTATGGTGTCGAGAATCTGCCATGCCTGCTGTGCCTTGGACGACCGTCACGGATAGCGGCCGCGGTGAGAGACCACCCCCTGCGCACCCCCTACGGTGTCGAGAATATGCCATGCCTGCTATGCCCTGGACGACCGTCACGGATAGCGGCCGCGGTGAGAAACCACCCCCTGCGCACCTCCTATGGTGTCGAGAATATGCCATGCCTGCTGTGCCCTGGACGATCCTCACGGATTGTGCAGACGTCTTGGGTGTATGATGCAGTGAACATGCGTCTTGTGTGTGCGAGTGTGTGCATGCGTGCGGCTGTATGTAGACGCGTGTCTCATGTAGTTGCCGTGCGTGTGTTGACCGCGGGCTGCGGAGAAGAATGAAGAGGAGGAGGGGAGGGGAGGAGACGCGGGTGCGCCGCGGCAGGGAAGAAAACCAAAACCCCACGAAACATGTGGGGAATAGTAACAATACTAATAATAATAATACTAATAATAATAATAATAATAATAATAATAATAATAATAATAATAATAATAATCATCATAGTAGTAATAATAGTAATAGTAAAAATAATAATAATAATAATAATATACCAATAATAATAATATTCATAATAATAATAATAATAATAATGCTAATAATAATAATGCTAATAATAATATTGATAATAATATTAATAATAATAATGGTAATAATAATAATAAGAAGAAGAAGAAGAAAAAAAAAATGATAATAAAAAAGGCGTCGTACCTGGCGCTGTGGTTGTCCGTGCGATGCTCGTGCTCGGCAGCCCGTGATCTCTCGCTGCTCGGGTGGCTCTCGCCGGGGCGGCCACCAAATGCGCTGCCTGCGCCCGTGACGGGGGCGCCCCCGCCTGGCCGCAGAGGCCCAGGCGGCGGAGTGCCGCCTCGAGCGTGGGCCCCATCGAGCCCGAGCAGCCTCCCCGCCGCGCCCTATTGAGCCCGCGCAGCCTCCTCGCCTCGAGCCCGAGCCTCCTCGTCGTTCCACGGCCGTCCTCGCGTCGCGGGTTCCGCGCGGGTGGCCCGCCCGCCTGCGGGCCTCCCCTTCCCTTCGGGCTGGGCTGGGCGGGAGCCCCCCGCCCCCCCAGCTCGCGAGGCAGCGGCTGCACTCCCTCCCCCCCCCTCCCTTCCCTTCCCTGCCCCATCCCCCCTTCTCCGTCGTTCCCCCTGCACCCCCACCCCCACGCCCCTTCCCATCCCCTGATCCTCCGCTCCCCTTCCCTCCTCCCCCCTGCGCTCCCCCTCTTCCCTCATTTCCGCCTCCCCCGTTCCCTAGCCCGGAGAGCTCGGCCCCACCCCCGAGGCCGGAAACGGGTCTTCTTTGAGGACAAACAGCCGCCCGTGTTCTTGTCGAGATGATTGGAGGGCTGGGCGTTGAACTTCGACCCTTGGACCTGTCCTGGGGTGCGTGCTGGCAAGAATCTCGAAGCGGATCCAGCCGTGATGACGAGGGCGCTCTCGGGATTCCAGAATGGCCCCAAGTCGTCCAAATATTGTATCCGCGATCTTGATTATCATCCGCCTTCCCGTCGTTCCCCTTCCGTCGATGTTCCTTATAAAAACTATGTATAAGGAACATCGACAGGGAGGCGCTATTTAATAGCGCCTCCCTGTCGCACTACCAGGCGTGTCGTTAGGGAGTGCCCAGCGCTTCGCCTCTGACTTCCTCACCGTGTTCGATGTTGAAGCTTGTAATTTCCCAAGTCTGCACGGATGGAGGGCGAATCGTTCTCAAAATGGGCTTCTCGCACTGAGGCCACACAAGCACGTTGCATCAAAATCCAAGAGAATGGGGGGCGAATCATGTTCAGCATGAGGTCCCTACGTCGGCGCCGCACACACTCCTTTCGATCAGTTGACGTAGCTACTCGGATGGAGGACGAATCGTGTTCAGCATGGGGCTCTCGCTTGAGACCTCCTGAAATTGTATAGCCAGAAGGATTCCATCCTACAACAGTTGTGCGGAAGATGTGTGGTTCTTTTCCAACGTAGAGTTTTCGCCGATGGCACCCTCAAACCTAGCACCATATGCTCACAGCTATACTACACTTGCGTGGATTGCAGGGCCGTAAGACTTCCTCGCATCTCATTGCCGGCACCCGTTGCACGGCTGCAGCGCGGCTCTTTTGTACAGCGGGGTTGCTGTTGGACGTTTCCCTGAGCTGTGCGGCCCCACCCGGTGGCATTGGCTCGAAGGGCGGAGGGCGTTCCCTTGTCAAAACGACGCTCCCGCCCGAATTGCGGGCCCCTGTGGCCGTCGTCTTTGAAGAGGGCGCCTCGGGCAGTGAAGAAGAATGCTTGCCTGGACTTGCCACGAGGCGTCTTCGGACGTGAGAGTGCGTTGCAGTATCGTTGGCAGATATTCAGTTTATTATGGTCCTCCTCCTCCTCCCTTACGCTCGTCTCCTCCTCCTCCTCCTCCTCCTCCTCCTTCTCCTCCTCCTCGTCGGCCGTCCAGACTGCGCATCGGCTTCTTTGAGCGCTGAACTGGGCGCCGGCGGCGGCAGCCAGCACGCGCGGCGACATTGTCCTCCTCATCCTCTGGTCCTCCAGCTCCTCTCCTCCCTCCTCTTGCGAGTCGCCCGATACTACTACTACTACTACTACTACTACTACTACTACTACTACTACTACTACTACTACTACTACTACTACGACTACTACTACGACTACTACTACTACTACTACTACTACTACTACTACTACTACTACGACTACTACTACTACTACTACTACTACTACTACTACTACTACTACTACTACTACTACTACTACGACTACTACTACTACTACTACTACTACTACTACTACTACTACTACTACTACTACTACTACTACTACTACTACGACTACGACTACTACTACTACTACTACTACTACTACTACTACTACTACTACTACTACTACTACTACTACTACTACTACTACTACTACTACTACTACTACTACTACTACTACTACTACTACTACTACTACTACTACTACTACTACTACTACTACTACTACTACTACTACTACTACTACTACTACTACTACTACTACTACTACTACTACTACTACTACTACTACTACTACTACTACTACTACTACTACTACTACTACTACTACTACTACTACTACTACCGCCACTGGCCTCGAGTGCTCTTCCTTCCCTCTCCGACCTTCCCGCGGTGGGCTGGGCCAGGACAGTGTCTCTCTGGGTCGCCTTCCGCCCAGCAGTCGTGCTAGAGAGGCCATGCCCGCGGACCCAAACTAGATCCGAAAGGGTCCAACCAGCCAACCAACCAGCCTGCCTCCCTCCCTCCCTCGCGCCCCCTCGCCAGCAGCAGCCCCCCCCCTCCCCCCCTCCCTCCCTCCCGCCACCAACCTGCTTCCCTCCCTCCCTCCCTCGCTCCCTCCCTCCCTCGCGCCCCCTCGCCAGCAGCAGGCCCCCCCCTCCCTGGCCAGCTCGATCGCCGCGAGCCCGCTCGCCGGACCTCCGGAGGCACCGGCCACGCCTCGGCCGGGGGCCCGACGCTGCTCTGGATCCAGCGCTCGGCGGCGACGACGCGCCGCGTCGCGAACGAGCCCGAGCTCCTGGACGCCCTCGGCGCGGCCCTGGAGCTCCCCGCGCCCCGCGGGGTGGTGGGGGGACGATGATGATGATGATGATGATGATGATGATGATGATGATGATGATGATGATGATGATGATGATGATGATGATGATGATGGTGATGGTGATGGTGATGGTGATGGTGATGGTGATGGTGATGGTGATGGTGGTGATGGATGGTGATGGTGATGATGATGATGGTGATGGTGATGGTGATGGTGATGGTGATAATGGTGATGGTGATGATGATGTGATGATTGTGCTGGTAGTGTGATGGTGGTGATGGTGATGTGATGGTGATGGTGATGATGGTGATGGTGATGGTGATGGTGATGGTGATGGTGATGATGATGGTGATGGTGATGGTGATGGTGATGGTGATGGTGATGGTGATGGTGATGGTGATGGTGATCGTGATGATGATGATGATGGTGATGGTGATGGTGATGGTGATGGTGATGGTGATGGTGATCGTGATGATGATGGTGATGGTGATGGTGATGGTGATGGTGATGATGATGATGGTGATGGTGATGGTGATGCTAATGATGATGATGATGGTGATAATGGTGATGGTAATGATGGAAATGGTGATCGTGATGGTCATGGTGACGGTCATGGTCATAGTGATGGTGATGGTGATGGTGACGGTGATAGTGATGATGATAATGGTGATGGTGATGGTGACGGTGATGGTGATGGTGATGGTGATGGTGATGGAGATGATGTTGATGGTGATGGTGATGGTGATGGTGATGGTGATGGTGATGGTGATGGTGATGGCGATGGTGATGGTGATGGTGATGGTGATGGTGATGGTGATGATGGTGACGGTGATGGTGATGGTGATGGTGATGGTGATGGTGATGGTGATGGTGATGGTGATGGTGATGGTGATCGTGATGGTGATGGTGATGGTGATGGTGATGGTGATGGTGATGGTGATGATGGGGATGATGATGGTGATGGTGATGATGATGATGGTGACGAGGATGATGGTGATGGTGATGGTGATGGTGATAGGGATGGTGATGGTGATGGTGATGGTGATGGTGATGATGATGATGGTGATGGTGATGGTGATGGTGATGGTGATGCCCTGCGCTTTGGGTCGGTTAGTCGAGGCTCGCTGGGCCTGCTCAATCACAAAAAAATGAAAACACAACCGGGCTCCCCCTTCGTTTGGACTCTGAAACGGAGTCCGCCACATCTGAAACCGAGACGGAGGCGGCGACCTCTTGCCTCGGGCACGGGTCGAGGCACTATCTAAATAGTTGCCAAGCTGGATCGGACGAGAGGCCAACCTAACTCGAGACCAAATCCGAAAGGGTCATAGTCGGCCTCACCTTCGAGCTCGACCTCGACCCCCATCGCCTCCTCCCAGTCGGGAGGGGGAGGGGGATGAGGAGGAGGCGGGAGAGGGTCGGAGGCAAGAGGAGCGAGACGAGCCAGTTGGGACTCCGAGAACCCCGCAGACCGATGGGGAAGGGGTCTCGTCACAGCACGCTTCTCTAACATTCGAACAATCGATCGATGCATTAAAGTGGTCAAAGTGAAACGGTCCCTGGCTTTCTGAATTACTGAGGTCGGGAGGGGGTGTAACTTGGTGGCATTAGCGGCAAGCACATCAACATGTTTATTCAACTCCTCAGCGAGCGGATGCACCGCGCCGCGGTCCACACCGTCCTCACCTTGGTGCGAGTACACGTGCTCGATGTAGAACATCTCGGGCTTGGCGTTGATCGCAATCTTGATATGGGTCCAGATGTCATTCCAGCTTCCTCCAGGCGGCCCTCCTCCTTGTAGTAGATTGTTGAATTCTCGAACACATTGTTGATTGTCGCAGTAGATCCAAACGGGCTCTTCCACAACGCGTACAACATGAAGTAGAGCTCGGGCTTCAGCACGTGCACTACTTTGTCGTGGTCCGTATAGCTTCGAGGAATCGTTTAGGCGGTGGCGTGGCGCCATGTATACAGCATATCCAGCTCGAGCTAGCCACTGGTTTTGAGGGAAACGGCAGGCGCCATCCGTAGCTAAGGCCAGCCACCGCTTGTTCTCGTCGTCGGTGATGTAGTTGACCATGTCCTCGGCGGGGTCGTCTTCCACTTGCTGTGGGGGTCGATGTTGTGGGGGCTCAGGTAGGGCTTCGAGTTCGTTGTAGAGGTTGACCGTCTCCTCATCGATGTACCTGAGACCACAATGGCTTGAAGGCGGCCACTGATCACGTTCTTGAACTTGTGGATGTTGGAGTAGTGGTGCGCGCCCTTCTCGCCAGCAAGGGCACTCCCACTGGATGTGTTCTTGCGCTTCCTGTTCTCTGTCACAGAACATGCACGCCGCTGAGGTGTTCTCTGAAATCGATGATCTCTGCAATCTCTGTTGCGTGTGATCGCCGCCGTCTAGAAATACAGACAATAGGCCACGCTGCCACTGAGTAAGACGGTGCCTGAGACTGCGTGTTCGCAAGGGCCAAGAATTTGAAACCATGTCAATGCCGTACTTGTGCTTAGCCACGTCTCCGAGGTCGTTCCGCGTAGTGGGCACCTCACGTTGAAACCACCGTCGTTGGGAGTCTCGGAGATGATGCATGAGAAAGTCACCGTGCCCTTCGAGCCACGAAATGGGAGCGCCCAGGTCGGTCAGCAGGATGTCGAAGGATGGCCAGCGCCAGTTGAGCTGGTTGAGCATCTTGACGAACGTTCGAACTGGACCAGGGTAGGCGGCATCTGCATCTTGGATATGATCACGAGGGTCGCGCACGTAGTCACGCAGCTGTGGCACCCGCAGAACCTGACGGCGTAGCGAAAGGGTAACTTCCCTCTGGCTGATCGTGATGGGGTCGAGGAGGTGGCCCTTCAGAACGACGCTCAGCAAGATCCATTGGCAGGTCCACTGCCGCCCCTTAGGCGCGATGGTCGCAAACATGGCGCGGTCGTAATCCCGCAGCTGTCGGTTGGAGGGCGTGCCGAGGTCGGAGCCCACAGCAACCATGGATGCCGCCATCGTTTGCGCGATGCCGGCACGCTTATGTAGAGGTAGGGGAAGCCGTTGAGCACGTTGAAGTCGTTGAGCTGCAGCAACGAAGTGGCGGTCCATGAGGCAAGTGTCATCACCTCCGCGGGTGGCGATCTGGCTGCCCACAAGGCGGAAGGCGCGCTTGACGGGCAGGTTGTGGCCACAGACCGTGGCGTTGGCGAGCTCAGTGACCGAGTTCTCGTCGGTGGTCCAGGCGACCAGCTTCCCAAGATGTAGTTCCTGTCCAGATAGTTCTTATCAAAAAGAAGCGATTCACGAAGCGATTCACGAATCCCAGCCATGTCCCACACAGTTGAGTTGGAGTCGTCGATATACGGTATGGATAGAGATATCGGTATTACCCTGTGTTGTCTCGCCGTCCATACATACATGAGCATCTTAATATCATCAATGCTGAACGCAGAGCCTTGTAAGTGGCCACTCGTGGTGGCCATGGCGTCATTGTAAGTTCCAGTCACGAACTTGAAGCGCACTCTCGGGGCACCCTGCGTGTCGTTGTAGTTCGATGCATATACTGGTTATCAGCAGGTCGAAGCACTTCTTCCCGTCGAGAGCAAGACCGTGGACCCAGTTCTCGGCGTGTCGGGACCACTCGACCTGCAGGGCAAGGCTGGTGGAGACATCCGAGAGACGAGCCCCCGACGTAGCCCCAAAACTCGCGGGGTGACTCCACTTGCGCCTCCAAGAGTCGAGCTTTCGGTAAATCGGGACTTCCAAGAATAAAGCCACACAGACAGAACGGAAAGGAGCCTTTGCTCTTCAGGAAAAAATCACCACTCCCTTCCTCAAGGCGGGATCCGGAACATGTTTGCAAGCCGAGGGGACCTGGCCCGAATTCTGCATCGATCGAAGAGCCTCGGCGAAGACGGCTTGGATGGCTGTGGGCAGAGCTTTGGCCTCCACCGTCGCCCATCCGTCAAGACTCCCCGCCTTGCGAGAGGAGCGTGCCTGGAGAAAAGCGCTGACATCAGCATCGCTAAGTGAGGGCTCAGGGCAGGGGCTCACTGGGGCCAGCTCAGCTTCGTATTCGGCACGGAAATCCCCCCAGGTGGGAACCTCTGAAGTCCCACGATATTTGCAAAGAACCCGCTCCCAAGTTAGCTGCATCCGCCTGATAATGTCGAGCGGGTTGGAGATAATCCCTTGGGTGTCGGGTTCTTTGAGGAAGGTAGTGGGTTGCTGCGTCTGCGCTTTTACCCAGGCACAAACCTCTCGCCCTCCACATTGGCAAGATGCTGAAATTCGAGTTCGCCATTGTTGCAGTCGCTGGCGTTGGGCTTCTGCGGCATACCGTTGATATTCAGCAAGTACCTGGGCAGCAGCGTGACGGGACTGGGCTGCCGAAGGCCAACAGAAAGGCGTCCACCATCCAGGCCAGGATGCACACACTGGTTGTAGAAGCCGAACTTGCTTGCAGCAGTTGGCCCAGAGCTGGTGGTAGAGCTGGATGTCGACGTAGGATGCATACCCACGAGCTTCACAACGTTCAGCACGATAACTTAGTTCAAGTAGTCGACGGTGGAGCTTGGTGCATTGCCACTCTGTGCGAGACATGGCACCGTGCTGCGGAGAGATGGGTGGGGCGGCCCACCCTTGCACAAAACGAGGGGGCTTGCCACGCCCCCTCGTACCCTTCTTGACATGACCATCACAGCATATATCCAAGAAATCCTCCGCTATCGTATTGGCAAGAGCGAACGTGTCCTCAGCATTGCCTTGTGCCAGTGCAAGCTGTTCAGCACGTTGGTCAACCAAGTGGGCGCCAAGTGCTTCACGTTCATCGCGTGGCATGCTGATGTGAGAAACGTTGTAGAGCTTCGGGCGTTCCCACCGTCGTACTCGCGCTGCAAAGGTGTCCGCGTTGAGAGTGACTTCGAGGGCGAGATGTCCAGGGCATTTGAATTCACGAACAATCTGAAAGTCGATGACCATAGCATTGGCGCTATCATTCGCAAAGATGTAGTCG